GAAGCTAGCATACAAGCTAGCCTGTGGAGCATTGTCCAACTGCAGGCGTCGCTTCGCCACCTCAGCACTTCCAATAAAGGCTTCTAGCTATCTCTTCTATAACTTGTGCTATTTTACGGTGCCTTTTAAGCGAGAGACCAAACAACTTATTTCCCCTTAGCTAAGAAGGTTTGCTGTAAAATAAACACATGAACTTGTTCTATTCCGTTCTGCCTTTTCTGCGAGTAGGCATGCAGGCCAGAGTGGAGGGGATAAAGGAGAAATACGCCAAGGCATGGAGTAAGTCAATGTCGCTGCAATCGGTCATGCACACCAAATATTGTGCCTTCTCTTATCTGGAATGAATTTCCAAAACGCTGCATTGGCAGCAGTGAAAAGTTAACCCGATCTTGCGACGTGTGCGAAGAATGCGAAAAACTTGGACAGTGCGAATGAGGAACACTTACCACGGATAATAGATTTAATTAGGAATCTGTTGCCGAAGGTGCATTTACCTAATTCTCATAATTTGTACAAAAGTTAATAACGCCGATGGTTTATTACGGATAGGTATGCAACGCGTCACTTATATAGCTGGAGATTCCAATCGTAGTCAATTGAGTGGCTACATTGCGGTGACTGGGGATCTACCCACCTGATATTTGGCAGTTACTTTGTATTCGGCTGACACTTGTACACTTATCCTAGCCTTCAGGCCCAAGCTATTCTACACCGACTAGATTGCGTTGTAATACTGTTTATGGGACCACCTGATGTCTAGCAGTCATTTTAGGTACACGTGGGCTGACCTTAGGGCCATGCTCAGGATCAATTACTTTGCTCTCCTTGTAATACATGTTATTAGCTCCACCTACTGATTCTTCTATTTGGTACGAAGTTTCGAACGCTACACACCTACTCAGCCCAACTTAATGCCTTGGGCGCTACATCTGTTCGCTGTAGTGCATTTCTGGGACGATAAAAAGATTAATTCGCGATGTTGAAACTCAGGCAAAAATAAGTTTATTGCTAAATACCAGATTTTTTGTGCATCTTAGAGTAAAATGCGTGTATTTAATGCGCAATGAGCTTATAGTCGGTGCAATCAATGGCAATAACGAGCGAGATGCTAAGAGTTTTAGAAACCGATGCATGTAGTAAAGGTAGTGGTCGTTATCGGATAATTCCTCTGAAACTTTTATGTTGCATTTTTTTAATGATTGCGCTAAACATCTTAAGAATGATTTGCATATTAGCCGCAGTATTCAAAAGATTGGTCCTATGGTCTTCCGCCTCCGTCCCTTCCAGTAGAAGATGGGCTCTCACGAGAATAGTGAGGACATTATCGGGCGAAAGGTTGATCGATGTATTTCAGATGTGCTAATTAAAACAGGTAGCGTCTTTATTATCATTAAACCATTATAGGAGCTGGGCTTTCCGTTGGTATAATCGTCTCTGTCCTGTTTGCTCGACGTAAGCAACTATCATAGAAATTTGAACTGTTAGGTCGGCTTTGGCCTCTGATTTTCGGAACCGGATTTGGAATTGGTATGGGGGTTTCAAACTGCAACAGTGAATTCAAGCAACCGCTACCCTTGCAATCTCATATTATCAAAGCTCAGAAGAAATCAGACTGATGAATGCTTTCTCCTCCGGTGGCGGCAAAACATAGTTATCTTCTAGACTTGCACTGTGTAAATAAATTTGATGCATTTAACTGAATGCTATATACCTGAGAACATACTTCGAACCTTTTGTATTCAGTTGATAATCCTTGTATCAGGCAATGATCTCTGGAGTTCAGGTAAAAGTCTTAATGGAGCTGCCCCATGACTTTACATAAACATAAAGAAGCAAAACAAGAGCGTCGCGGGCAGAATTGTATTAACAACCACTTTGTAGATGAGGAAGCACGAAGATTTTAGGATTGTAATGTGTAGGGGGAATCAGTTGGTCTAAAATAATCCGACGGACAGTGACATAGGAAATTCACGCAATCGATGCTTCGAGGGAGGTCCTCCTCCATTCCTGAAAATGAATTTAGCTAAAGGAAACGAACCTATGACGTATTTTGCCGGGTCGAACTCTCCCTTTCTTGCTTCAAAGGTTGGAATGAGCCAGGTTAGCACGACTGAGGCATCTTCGGAGTTATCAACTATAATACTTCGGATCTGGGCGTAATACTCCCCGCCCTCGACATCCGTAACCGAAACTATGTCTCCGGTTTGAAGCCATTTACCCTGAGAAGTCGCAATTAAGGGGAATCAAGCAAACCTTGTGCTGAATGCGCGATTCAAGGCGAACAAAAGCTCGCGGGGGAGCAAGCTTGGTAGGCTAGAAGGCAAATACATAAGGGACGACTAGGTTACATTAGTTTTAAAAATGGATCTCCTCGATTTGCACTTCGAACTGGATGAGCCGTTAGAAGGTTTCATTTTATTAGTAGCACCTCTGGATCGGAGAGTTTTTTTCATGGGACCAGTGAAGTCAAAATCAGAGTCCGTTTTCGCAGTTCGTTTTCGCCTGCAGGCGCGTTCTACAACGGAGGAATAGAATCGTGGGAACGCCAATACCAAACTTTTAGAGGCGACAACATTATCCTTGCAATGACCGACTGGAGCATGCAAGAGCAAGGAGTCTGGCTAATAATTAGCGTTCGGCGAAATTAGGGTAGTAGGAATAACATAAAAAACTCAAGCACTGTTTGCTATGGTGGCTTCCACACTTTAATCAAGTCGAACCAGCACAGCCTATGATACAATTTTGGAACTGTGGATGTGGACCTAGTCCAAAAGTCCATATAACGCTAAATGAAGCCACACATGGATGGTGGGTTAATGGGGCAAGTATTTGCATGCAGACAACAGATAGGACGAAGCGGATGAACAGATTTGCACATGTATTCAGAATTTACCATTTGCATGACTTCCGAATGTGGTGACTGTCTTATCCGAACTCATCTCTTCCTATCACACCCAAAAAATTTAAACTTACCGCCCATAAAATCCTTAAGGGGATAAGTTTTGCTGAAAATCCAAAATTATTGATGAGCCAAATTTTACATTTAAGGATTTAACACATAGTTAGTGTTTTAGCGTTCCATGCCCAATAAAGACCTTGACTCCTGTACCCTCCAGCTCTGGAGTCTGCGCGTCGGTGGCTCGATGGGTGGCTGTGGTGATGTGCTTCCTTCTGACAGGGCACAAGGCCAGTGTTCTCGTTATTTACCACAAGTGATGCATTCAAATTCGATTTATTGTCACCCCACGATTCTTTTCTGGTTTATCTCCTGCATTAAGTCGTTAGATCAAGTACTGCTTTCGCGCCTGTATATGGGAAATTTTACGATGCAGGTGTCGATAATTTTGTTCGAATGACGTTGGTACGCACCATTTATCCTTCTCATCATTCTATCTAGCTTGGCAATGGTGGTGGGTTCATGTCACCTTAGTATATTTTGAGTATCACGGTCCCACTGTTTTTTTGCGATCTGCATGCTTCTTGCTGTTATAAGTACTTACACATTTGGCTGCCTATCGTCGTTGAACTTTGTGATCTGTTTCAGAAATTGCTATTCATACGTGAAAGATGCATTAGGTGTGGCA